ATTTTTTTTAAACAAATTCTATAAGTTTGTAAAATTTATTTAAAAAAAATTTTATTAAATTTGATTAAGTTTTTGTTAAATTATTATTATTTAAAGTTAAAAAAAAATTTATTTAGAAAAAATTTGCTTGATTTCTATTGACTCAACCCTATATATATATATGTTGTTAAAAATAATTCACCTTCAATAATAAGCTATTTTTTTTTTAAAAAAAATATATAAAAATCTTTTAAATCTAAAAATAAGCTACTTATATAATTATCAGTAGTTACTCTATAGTAAAGTTAAAATTTTATTAAGTACTTTATTAAATAAAAGTTGTTTAGAAGTTCAAAATATTTATATACTAAAAATTTTATATAAATTAAATAATTTTTTATTAATTGACTTTTAATTTTTACATTTAACGAATATAAATTTTAAAAAAATTTTAAGAATTCATTAAATATAATAAGCAAAAATTATTAATAAAAGATTATTCAATTTGAATAAAACTTTTAAAATATGTGTATTTTGATATTTTAAACTACTTTTATTTAATAAAATAGATCAATTTACTTAATAAAATTTTGACTTTGCTATAAAGTAACTACTGATAATTATATAAGTAACTTATTTTTAAATCTAAGTTTTTGTTTTTCTTTTAAAAAAAAAAATTTTTATTATTAGAGATAGACTATTTTTGACAACATATAATATATATATAATTTATTGAACTTGAATATGTTTATGAACTTGAACTGAACTTGAACTAAACCAAAAATTTGAGTTCAGATTCAGTTTAGATTTATAAATTTAAATTTTAATTCAGGTTCAGGTTTAAAAATCTGCAAAATTTAAAGTTCAGTTTAGATTCAATTGAACTTGAACCTAAATCTAAATTGAACTGAACTAAACATCAAAATATTAACATCTAATATAGAACTTAATGATAAATAAACTACTTAAATAGGCAACCAAAAATTGTATGTATAGCTACTTGTATTTTCCAAATATGTATATAGTATAAAAATATATACTGTAAAGTTAAAACTACAATTAAATAAAAAAGATGACCAAGAGACTACCTTAATATCAAAAAAAATTTTTACTATTTTTTGTATTCTAATAAAAAAATTTCTTATAAAATTTCAATATAAACTATATCTTAATTAAAAGTTTTTTTTGTAAAGACAAGATTGTTGATTTACATGTTATACCAATTTTGTATTTACATATAGAGTATGACACTATAGTAATATTCCTATATAAAAATATTAAAAAGAAATAACTCATTTTTAAATCATTTTTTCTGTACATGATATCAATATGATTATTTGATTTATATTATAATTTAAAAATTAAAATATAATTTTCATGACCATCAAACCAATTCTCAACTTGGGTTGATATTAGTTTGAGTGCGCTCAAGCATCTAAATCAATAGATCTAAGTTCAATTTTTAATTATATAGTAGAAACTAAATTATTCGGTCAAGCGAGTTCATTCTCGCGATGAAAAAAAAAGATGGTCTGAGACCATCTTTTATCATAAAGTTGTGCTGATTGGCTAAAATTTAATATCCGCGTTGTGAATTTTCGACAAAATTACCGTAAGGTTTACTTCAATTAATTATAATACTTGTGCACGATCTCTATAGCAAGCTAATTACACTGAGAGAAATGCTTAAGAGCACCCTAAGACTTGGATATAATGAGTAACCAAATGCTTATATTATAAAAATAAAAATGTCCACTTTGTATTTATAATAGGAAGTCTAAACTTTAGAAAAAACTACCATACTTAATTGATAGACCAATTTATCGTAATATTTAAATATATACTTTACAAAATGAAAAATTATCCAGAATATTGTTTTTATCTCAAAAATAGTTTAAATATTGAATACAAGGCAAACGTGATCATCGCCTGCCGTTATAATCTTGTTACCATCTCTACATAAATTGATATATATATATATTAATAACGTTTGAATATCATTTCATGACATATATTAAAAGGGAACTGTTATTATTAATTCATACTTTGAAAGAGAAAATCCTAATATAGAATCCTGATGTCCACGCCAAGTTCTAACATTATTACCAGTTCGACCATCCCATGTTCGAACCGTCCGATCTGCCGAGCAAGTTGTCAATAATGGCGAATCGAGATGCCATTGAAGTTTAATAATTGCGTCCTCAAAATTAAAAAAAAAATATATATATATATAATTAAATAGATCAGATTAAAAATATAGGCAATTACTTCAGTAAAATTAAAGCATACTTCATGATGACATGTTTGGCGCAACCTCATAGTATTAATATCCCAAATATTAAGTTTATTATCCACAGAACCCGTAGCAGATAAAGGAAGAACATTACAAAATCCAACTGTTTCTACTGATTCCGTGTGATTTTCAAAAGATCCGAGGATCTAAATCAAATAATAAAAATACCATTAAAAATTATCAAAAGATAAATGCATTAGATTGATATAGAATACATACCGTCCCATTAGATAAGTTTACTAGTATAGCTGAATTGTCTGTAGATCCAGATAGAATCAATGTACTTTCTTTATTTATCGCAAGTGAAGTAATGCCTTCTTTGTGAAATCGCGCATCTTCCCCTGAGAAAAATATAATGATATGTAAATATTATTTACAGAAGCTCAAATGGTTTTTAGATTGCATACCCGATATTTTTAAAGTGGCTGTTGCAGTTTTTGGATCCCATAATATTAAAGAGGAATCTTCTGACCCTGTGGCAATTTTTTTACCATCAGGTGTGAATTGACCTGCAGTTACGGAACCTGCATGTCCAGAAAAAACATTCATACAAGTTCCAGACGGAACTAGAATAAAATATATAATTAAAAAAAAAACGATAGCAATGGCACGCAATCATGATCTGGAACAGAAATGTACTTTGCCACATCCATATCGTCGTATCGTTTGATCCAGCTAGGAGAACCGTGCCTTTAGGGTGCCAATCCAACCACTATAAATAAACAATTTAGCATAAAAATAAGGTGTTGCGATTTCTTATAATAAATTAACTTACAGTGACTTCTTCAGGGCCTTCTAACGATGCGATGAGTTCTTTACTGTCAACTTTCCATACGAAAATTTTACCGTCCATACCACCGCTTGCTACATATTGCCCATCTTTGCTGAATAACACTGATTGAACTGTGTCCTTGTGACCTGTTATAAACAACGGATTTAGATCTTTAATAAAGATGTGTGCTTTTCGAAGCTTTTAATTACCTAAAAGTTCACATATTTGTTCACCAGTATCTGATCTCCATAGGAAACTCTTTTCATCCCCACCACCAGACACCACAAGATTTTCATCAATTGGGTGTATATCAATTGTGTATACAGAATCTGATAACAAAAAAGCTCAAATTATTATTATACTTTGCATATAAGCTTTTTTTTTCAAAGAATTTTATGAATTAACCTAATTAACCTTTATGACCGAAGAACCCTTGCACAGAGTCATCTACT